TGGACCGTATTCCGGGCCACATCCCACTCTCATGCAAAGTCAAAGGGCGTCGTCACCCATTTTTTCAACAATATCAGGCAGATCTTGACCTCCATTCCTTCTCGAGTCAGAGAGCGGCGTTCCCAATGGCGGCCACCGCACTGGGTTAGCGCCTCGTGTTGACACCCAACCACACGCCCTTCGCTCCTTGGTATGCGGCCTACCGCATCATGGGTGGGCCACACCGAGCAATGACTTGCGCTGATGATTCACCAGGATAAGTTGCAGTCTAAACTAAGCATCTGACAATGTAGGATGTCGTCCGATTGCTAAGCCTTGATCATTTCCTCAGACGTCAGGGTGGGTCGTCGTGAATTTTACTCCGTGGGCTTCGGACTAAATCCATCATCACGGAATGGACGAATGCATCAGTATATAAGGACCGTGGAAGCCGCCTGGCAGCCTTGCTTCGTATACTTCAGATCTCAACTACCAAAGAACCTTCTAGATAATTTGTGACTGCTCATACTCATCATTTACTCTCCTACTTGACTCCTTATACAAGCACTACTACTTCAACTGAACTATACATCCACCCAGACTGTCGAACAGTACTACCAACAGAACCATCCACTTCTTTTATAAGAAATTCAGAAGCACATCCGAAGCCATGCCTGAATCAGTCAAATCTACCTCCACCCTCGACGACGCTTCGTCCAGCTACAGCGTCTCCTCCACCGCATCAACCTTGAAAGGCATCAAAGCCACGAGCAAGAAGTGGCTACCTAGCAAAGAGAAGAAGGAGGAGACCAATTCATCTCCACCTAAGCCTGCCTCGCCTAAGCCTGCCAAAGAAAAGAGCCGTGCCCCGTCCACCAACTACACAACTCTCGCTACATACCTGTCATTGAAATGATGGCATCTCTGCAGTTGGGTGCTGGGCATACAACATGGATGACGATGAAGGAGGATATCAACCATAACGAGGATATGCATGTGCTTTCTATAGATTTTGATTGTTTTCTGGGTTTGTGCTATGATGATGGCGTTGGAGTTGGGTAAAAGCTGCTTTGATGGACCTCTTGTTATACGACTAGGAAAGATTGATGCTTGTGTTATTACAAACCTAATCAGCTGTTTTATCCCTTAATTCCTAATTTAAAATCCTTCATTTACACTTCCAATCATCTAGATTCTCATTATATTCAGTGTTGTATAGATCTAGGGTCCGCACACCCACTAGGCTACTAAGGGCCATTAATTAATCGGGACTAGCGCGTCCGCGGCGCGTCGCACGCGTCGCAAACCAACTACATCAATCTATCACCGCATCAATCAGCCCACTCGACATATCGATTCGGGACGGAGTCGACACTCCATAATACACACTATCATTTCAAATAATCGCAGACTCGCTTTGATGACGACGTCGCCCCCGTCCATCCCTCCCTCCTTCGATCCGGCCATCCATCTTCACTCCGAGGGAGACCCTCCCGAACCCCCCTCCGATACCTTCTCCGACGAGCTCGAGGCATTGAACTTCCAACGGGAAGATAATACGCGTAAAGGAATAGTTATTCAGCACCGGTCGTGGAATCTATCTGATGTCTTCCGCAGTGACGAGGATATAAGGCCTGGTAGACTCGACTGTCCAGAGTGTTGAGTATAACAACTGATTGAGATCAGATACTCCGACACGAACTTCCAAGCGGAAGAACATCTACTCTCCTATTCGAACACTCGCCTTATTACCGTCTTCACCACCTACTATCAAAATGTCCCTCATTGCATCCCCCGCTCCGTTCCCGTCGAGCGCTCCGTCGCCAGAGTCGCAGAAGAGAAAGAATGAAGAACAATCGCAAAGTGAAGAGCCCAAGCGGCAGAAGATTATGGGCGGGTTCTTGGATGAAGCGGATGATGATGATGACTGGGATGCTTTCAACGATGCGCAACTAAGGAGCGAGTTTCAGGTGCAGGAGGACATTATTCAACAGCCGCCTGTTGAACTACCTGAAATCCCGAGGCCATCTCAACTGCAAACGGAATCGACTCCGAAGCCAACATCTACTGCGCCAGACCTTGATCCCACTCCCGTACCGGAGCCGAGCACAATCATGTCGCTTCCCTCGCGAAGGCCATACCGATCAGTACAGATAAAAACCTGCTCGGGCAAGACACACCACGTTTCATTGAAGCGACCCGCACCCCGTGTCAGCTACGAAAGACTTGTTGCTGGTCGCTCCGTTACAGCACCCGGAAGGGCTCAGAAGAGCTACTACGGTATCGATATCCACAAGCTTCTCGATGAAGCAGCGAATGAGCCGGAGGCTCCCCCGGCCGAGACACGACCTGCCCCAGTGGTACAGCCGTCTATCGAAGCCCCGGTCCACGACCAGAAGAGCGCAAAGCTAGCTGCAGCCATGTGGACTGAGAAATACCGCGCACGAAAGTTCACTGAATTGATTGGGGACGAGCGCACACATCGATCTGTTCTGCGGTGGCTGAAAGCTTGGGAACCTATCGTTTTCCCAAACATCGCCAGGGCAAAGGCAAAGAAACCGTTCAACGGCAAAGGCGAAGAGGAACGGACGCATCGAAAGGTTCTACTGCTATGCGGCCCGCCAGGTCTAGGAAAAACCACACTAGCACATGTATGTGCTCGACAGGCTGGTTACGAAGTGCTAGAAATCAACGCGAGTGATGATCGAAGCAAGGATGTGGTAAAAGGCAGGATTCGCGATTCCCTGGGCACAGAGAACGTCAAGGGCATGAACGTGGAAGTTGGCGAAGAAAAGGTACGCAAGGCAGGACGGCCTGTTTGTGTCGTCGTCGACGAAGTAGACGGCGTCGTCAGCGGATCTGGAGGTGGTGGTGAGGGTGGGTTCATGAAAGCCTTGATTGATCTGGTCCTACTGGACCAGAAGAATTCGTCAGGCGCTACTGAGCAGACCAAGGGCAGGAAGAAGAAGGGCGACAACTTCCGATTCTTACGGCCGCTGATCATGGTCTGCAACGATGTCTACCATCCTAGTCTACGACCACTGCGTGCGGCCTCGGTTGCAGAGATCATCCATGTCCGCCAAGCACCGTTGGAGAACGTCGTCACACGCATGAAGCGGATTTTCACCGTCGAAGGCATTCCATCCGACAATGATGGCGTCCGACGGCTCTGTGAAGCCTCCTGGGGCCTTGCTCGGCGCAAACAAGGAGGCGTCAAGAGCAGCGGAACAGCAGAGGGCGACATCCGCAGTGTCCTTGTGGCAGCAGAATGGGTGGCGCATAAGCTAAGAAACGAATGTCCATCTACTCTACGACTGACACGAAGCTGGCTGGAGCAAAAGGTTCTCAGCGCCAACAGTAGCGGCAGTGCTTTCTTCAAAGGCCTAAACCGCGGTGGTGTGCGCGATCTCATCGAGCGAGTCTTCACCGAAGGCGCCGGCTTCACAGATGCACCTGTTGGCGTCGACTCCTTCCGCGATCCCTTCTCCAATTCCGAGGACAAAGTACCAGTAGGTGTCGCTGACCTCCGGAAACGCCATGCCATCGAACGACTACGTGAAATGGTCGATGCTAGCGGCGAGCACGACCGCGCCGTGGCAGAGTGCTTTGCATCCTACCCACTGCAAAGCTACCAAGATGACACCTTCCTCTCCAAACCCAACGCAGCCTACGACTGGCTACACTTCCACGACACCATGTCCTCCAAGGTCTACACCGCACAAGACTGGGAGCTGAGTGCCTACCTCAGCCAATCCGTCGTAGCATTCCACCACCTTTTCGCCACGGCACAAGGCAAAGCCAAACCCCGGGAAGTCGACGACGAAGAAGAGGAACACCCATTTTCAGGTCCTCGAGCAGACTTTGCCGCCTACGAAGCTCAGAAACAGAACCGAGCCATCCTCACAGAATTCCAGTCCGCATTCTCAGCCCCCTTATCCCGCCTCTTCCGCTCCACCGACTCCCTAGTCATCGACCTCATCCCGAACCTCGTCCGAATGCTCTCCCCGGACGTGAAACCAGTCGTAGTTCGCGGCAGCGGCGAGCAGCGCAGCGTAGCCAGCGTCCGCAAAGAGAGCGAGCGCACGCTCATCCAAGCCGCCGTCCGCGTAATGGCTGGTCTAGGCGTACGATTCGAGAAAGTGCGCATCGAGAACGCCGGAGCCCACGGAGGATGGGCCTACCGGATGGAACCGTATGCTCCCCATCGTTCCTCTCCCTACAATCCTATATAAACCCATACTAACACTTCCACAGCCCCCTCGATACTCTCATTACATTCTCCAAAACCAAATCCACCCCCACCGTCAGCGGCTCCGCCCCCGTCCGCTACGCGATCCGCCAAGTCCTGGACCAAGAGTACCGCAAAGAGAACATCCGCAAGCAATCCGAAACACTAACGACATCCAATATCGGCAAAAAGTCCTCCGGCAAGACCGCCGATGGACAAGCCAAGGACGATGGCGATGCGAAGAAGACCGCGCACGGGCCGAACGTGAAGCGCGACTTCTTCGGCAGAGTCATCAAGGAGCCTACACCACCGCCGTCAGATGAGTCGCCCGAGACGGCAAAGCAGAATGAGACGTTGAAGGCGGGTAGACGTGTCTGGGTGACGTACCATGATGGGTTTTCGAATGCAGTCAGGAAACCGATTTCCATGGGCGAGTTGTTGGCGGAGTTGTAGGGTGCAGGGTAGTGGGTAATGATTATGATTTGGCATTGTGTATAACTTGATATCCGGTAGCTTATGCTTCAGATGGTAGATACTATTTCTATATTGAATTAAAGCGTTTATTCATTCGAAGAACTTGTATAGTTACAGTTGAATGATAGTTTATAACCAACATATCGATCGATCACATGACCATCTCGATAATGTCCCATGACTAAGCACGCCGCCAAGCCGGCAGAACGAGCGACCGCCTTCCCATGAATTTTTTTTTAATGATAGAAAAATATCCCCGAGATCGAGACCCATCGCGACATTTGCACTTGCACCAACTTTCCCCAAACATATCGCAACAATGGTGTCTTCGACGGCGCTAACGACGAAGGTGACTTCGGGGTCACCCTACCAGTTGGAAAAGACTCAGGTATGTCTCCTTCCCCCAAATTTCATGCATGCACTGCATACATTTTCACATCTCCAATTGCATACATCCATAAGATATCTTTAAATAATAATACTAATATATTCGAACAGGTCTCCCGCGCCTCCACGGCCCTCCTCAAACACATCGCGACCAAGCAAGACGAGAAAGAAAAGACAGCCACGAAGAAGACGCTTATCGGCGACAACGACGACAGCGACGCGGAAGAAGGCAGCGCTCTGCACAACGAAGCGATCTGGCTGGTCTTGACAACGAAGAAGCACATCGTGGACAAGAACCGTCTGAAGCCAGGCAAGATCCCTATTCCGCACAGCCTGAACGCCTCTCCCTCCCTCAGCATCTGTCTCATCACCGCGGACCCCCAGCGCAGCGTGAAGAACATCGTCACGGACCCGTCTTTTCCTGCACACTTGTCGTCGCGCATCGAGCGGGTGATCGGATACTCGAAGCTGAAGGATCGGTACAAGAGTTTCGAGAGCCGGAGACAGCTTCTCGCTGAACATGATGTGTTCCTGGCTGATGATCGGATTATCATGCGGTTGGTGAATACGCTCGGCAAGGTTTTCTATAAGAGTAGTAAGAGGCCGATTCCGGTGCGGATTGCGGAGATTGAGAAGGTCGATGGGAAGAAGGTGAAGAAGGACCCCAAGGTTCGGAATGCTAGGAAGGTGGAGGGTGAGGGGGATAAGGAGAGTGCGTTTGCGACACCGGCGATTGTGGCTAAGGAGATTGAGAAGGCGTTGAACTGTGCGCCGGTGCATTTGGCGCCTGCTACGACGGCGGCGATCCGGGTTGGGTCGAGTAAGTTCTCCGCTAAGCAGGTGGCGGAGAATGTGGAGGCTGTTGTGAAGGGGTTGACGGAGAAGTTTGTCACCAAGGGGTGGAGGAATATTAAGGCGTTGCATATTAAGGGGGCTAATACGATGGCGATGCCGATTTGGTTGGCTAGTGAGTTGTGGGTTGAGGATGGGGATGTTGTTGAGGAGGAGGAGCAGACTCCTGCTGTTGAGGCGGGTAAGAAGCGCAAGCAGATTGGTGATGCTGAGGAGGAGAAGGTGATTGAGGAGGCGCCGAAGAAGACCAAGAAGGCTAAGGCTAAGGCTGGTCAGGATGATGAGGAGACGCTGTCGCTGGCTGCTAGGAAGGAGAAGCTTCAGAAGCAGAAGGCTAAGGCGTTGGAGGATGGTGCGGTGGCGGTTCCGCCGGCGGCGACTGGTGCTGGTAAGAAGAAGAGAAAGTCGACTTCTTGATTGACAAACTGCTTTTGCTGGGTTTATGTCCGGGCTGTATTGAATAGCAATGGGTGTCTCTTTTGTGTTTTACTCCGGCGGCGCGTGTTCGTTTCTTTCTTCTTGTTCATACATCGGGGCTTAATCAATACCCTTGGTCGAATAAAAGTTATGTATAGACGTGCTGGTGTTCTGATCGTAGTGTGTTGTAGTTCGGGTTCTTACCATGGAGTTCAGACGATGCTTGAACAGGCGTACAACATAATACATAATGGCATTGGTATATCTATCACCTCACCTTCCCACCCACATCATACAAAAGCACAAACATGAACATGAATTAATCACTGCTTCAGCTTCTCCGTCAACTCAGGAACCTTCTCAAACAGGTCCCCAACCAGACCAACATCGGCAACCTGGAAGATGGGCGCATCGGGATCCTTGTTGATCGCAGCGATGACCTTACTATCCTTCATACCCGCCAAGTGCTGGATAGCACCCGAGATACCGGCACACAGGTACAACTGCGGTGCGACGTTCTTACCCGTCTGTCCGACCTGCAGACTGTTATCCGCGAAGCCACTGTCCACAGCAGCACGGGAAGCACCAATGGCAGCGCCCAATGTATCAGCCAGAGGAACGATGACGCGGTCGAATTCCTCCTTGGACTTGAGACCACGACCGCCGGAGACGACGCGGCTGGCGGTACCCAGGTCCGGACGCTCAGACTTGGCGAGCTCCTCGGACACCCATTCGGTTTGGGCGGGGGTGTTGGGGTCGACGCCCTCGGTGACGGAGGCGCTGCCGCCGGTGGTCTCGACGCCTTGGAAGGAGGTGCCGCGGACGGTGAGGACCTTGATAGGGTCGGTGGACTGGACGGTCAGGATAGCGTTACCGGCGTAGATGGGGCGGACGAAGGCTGTTAAGTTAGCCTGTTAGTATACTGCTGTATATGAATGGGGTGTCTCCGACACCGGAGCAAATTCCCACGCCCGGAATTGGAAAGGTAAAGAAGACATACTATCTTCGCTCTCAATGCCCGTGATATCCGAAACCTGTTGCACATCCAACAGAGCAGCAACACGAGGCAGAAGACTCTTTCCGAACGCCGAGTGGCCAGCCACGACGTGCGTGAATTCTCCCTTCTTGATGTTCTCGACGAGCAACGGGGCGTAGTTCTCGGGGAGGCCCTATACCACAACTCGTCAGCGCTTACCCTCCCCATTCACTTTATCCAATAAGGTAGAAAATCGATTGAAGTACCTTCTCATAAGCCTCATTCTCCACCGCCAACACCTTGTCCAGACCCTTAATCTGCGCCGCCTCGGCAGCAGAAGTACCCTTCACGCCAGCACCGGCCACAAAGGCCGTCACGGGACCACCGAGCTTCTGGGCCGCAGCGATAGCGGACAAGGAGGAGGACTGGAGCTTGCCATCGCGCTGTTCGAGGACGGCGAGGGTGGAGAGAAGGCGGGCAAGCGCGGAGGTGGTGGTGATGCTGGAGCGGGGTGCTGTTGTGGCGCGGAGGGCGCGCAAGGCGGAGAGTCTTGCCTGCGGAAGGAGCATGATTGTATTGTATTCTGTGTATATATCTGTCTCTTAATCTGGGGGTGAGGGGGAGGATGGTGGTGGTCAAGAGGGGAGAGGAGTCATTTGAAGGCGGAGAGGAAGAAGAAGCAGAACTAAGGTTATCGTCGGATTTCCCGCCAAGCTTGTGTCGCCGATCCGTCGGAGTCTTCGGCTTAGCGTCTGCCTCGGTGCGATGCAGGCGCGGATATGCTCGGTTGGTGATGGAGATGTTGGTTTGGAATGTGCTTTTACGTCATGGGTGATTTTTCCATAGGATTTATTGAGATGGTATGTTGTGATCGGGGTTTGAGGGTTTATGCAGTGGTTGGTGGTTCGGCGATGGTACAAGTCCCAAGTAGTAGAAGAGGACTAGTAGTTATAGTGGGAAGTAATGATTCACATGTCAATCCTCTCTACCAACAACAATATAACCGGGGCTAATATAGGCTATTAAGCACGTCTTATTGATGGCCAGATACCCTATTTACTTCTCAGACGATTATTTACTCTTGAGGAGATGGTCATACAACTCCGCCAGTTGACGAAGTGGCATTCGGCGACCGAAGAATAATGCCGAGGGTTCAATATCGACGATCTACACATTGAATCGACAAGACAACTAATCCCAAAGGACCCCCCATGCCTTCTCTCAACATCTTAATACATGGAGAAATGAACTTACAACATTTCATAGCCTGTTAGGCAGATTTTCTCACTGTTTGACCATTCAACATTGACATCATGCCCATATCGGCTTTGTGGGCAAAGGCCGACTAGAGCAGATCTGGATACACCAACTGAATGAATCGCATGTCCGTTGCCATTCAGCTCGACAGTCCCTGTCTCGTCTATTTTAACGTCATTCTCTGATCCCTTGGGGTGGTCAACAATGCTTAAAACACTGCCGAGCCTGAAGAGTGCAGATAAATTTACAAAATTGTTGACAAGGACTGCACAGACCGTCATAAGAGACGGATGATGGAATTTGGACGTCACTTCTTCACCGACTGTCGGCTTCACTCATAGAAGTAATTCAACATCCAATGCAACAGTCGACAAAGAAGGAGCAGATTGAGCGCTTCGTTGAGAGCACCGACTTCAGATAAGGGCAGTGGGAATCTTCGTTTAGTTGGCACCGGCGATGTGCATTGTGTATTGCATGAGAAGAATGCTGATAGTATTGAAGTACGTAGAGCAAAGACGATTCTGTCTCTTCAGTGAGCGTATCCAGTGCGAATAGCTAGGCTATGTGGTGATAGACAATGCTATGACTAGATCACGTTCACACGGAGTGATTCGCCTACCAATTAGAGTGAAATGCTGTAATACATGTCTTGCTGGGTCAGTTGTTCGCTTTTTACAGTCTGAACCAAAGACAGTCACAATTTTGAGTGGCCGTATTGGCCAGTGGAGCCGATATACCCAGCCATAAGTAGACTCCAGGCTGTAATTGCATGGCAAATCCACCACTGGCTTCATGAACAATGTACAGAGCAATGCTATTGGTCCGGCTGGGATAATTTCAAACAGCGATAGGCTGCTCACTTTCGAAAGAATGGAAAGGTTCTGGGCGTTGTAGTCGGCAAAAGTACTGGTCTGCTCCCTTGCCTTGCCACTGACTTCGATGCGTCCCCGGTTCAAACTTACTTTGCGATCCAGCCCTCGCATCTGCCTTCATACCACGATAGTCCCTCTGCAAGCATGGGCTGCTCATGCAATCGCGTTCCGGATCAAATCCCCACGCCAATGAAGAGGTTGGTATTGCCACATCTGCCTCGCTTCCAGGCCGCAGGCTTCCGGGTATTATCCGTTCCAAGGCACAGTCGGCTCTTGCATCGGAGGAAATAAAGACTTGCATATTGCATCATAAAACAGGATCTGCACGGGGTCGAAGGCGAGGGATATGAGTCATCAAGCCATGATTGTCGACTTCGATTCACGCTGTGCCATTGTTCGCTAGACTTGATGGTCAAAATGTCCGATAAAGTCTCTGCTCAAGTCAGCACAAGAGATTCTTTATTCACTCAGCTACTCTCATGTCTCCCATTCGAACAATCGCCAAGCCACCTGTGAAAGACAACCAAGTACCCAGCAGCATGGCAAACTTAGTTTCTCACGGGCCAAGTTCCGGATAGGTTCCGCGATAGGCGGGTTGTTCAAGAGTCCCTTGCATGTACCCATGGACGCGGACATCGTGGGACTGCCAAGGGTTCCAGAATCCCACATGCTGTATAGTAACGACTTTGTATTGAAGGCCGCCATTGTTCATTTGTGGTTGCTTTGTGTTGCAACTGTACAGCCAAGATAGTGCAATCGGGGCCTAGAATTCAAGGCGACAAGGCAATGAGCCAGTCAGGCTGTCGCAGGGATGTGTGCATGTTGTTTGCTTCTAAACTCATGACCTGTAAACAGCGGATAAAGAAACAACAGAGCCGGCTCTGACACCGACACATCAGTGATAAAGACATGAGACGTCAGTCATTGAGTCACTCAAGCATGCGATTGGAGAAGGCTCGTTAGTCTGAATCCGGCCAATCCCGCAACGGATGCAACTATTGGCCGAACTGCTGATTGTTAGTAACAGTCGACAGTCCCAACCACTCCACAGCGACATTCAGAAGATAACGAACAAGCCTCGCATCTAGTCTAACGTTGTGGGTATCAACCGCTCAGCCCGAGCCATCCGTCCAGGAGAGGCTCGGAAACCCCTATTTGCACTTAAGGGGTAGAAGTAGTAGTAGTAGTAGTTGCAAGTATCGAACCCAATCTTGAGTCAATAATTCTCCAGATGGCTGCCGATGTTCATTAATTAGGCACCGTGCGTGACGTCTGACCGGTGAACAGGATGCAGCGATATTCTTTGCTCCAAGCTAACTATTCAATTCGGCTGGACGGGGCGGAAACCAAACAATTGCTCCAACTGTCTCCGACGTATTGAATCTAGTGGAATAGCGGAGAAAGTAACGGAACTTGGGATGGCTCAGGTACAGCTGCACAATGATAGGACAAAGACATCGGTGCCTGAAACAGTTCCGGCTTTAGTTGCTTGCTGTTACTCCGTTCAGCGCGCATCCCATAGACGTCTGCAGTCCCGACGTCAAGTGACTAATCGGAAGAAAGAGACCCTCAAGTCGCCGAATCATTGGTAGAACACACCAATACATCATCATCTCTGGTACCACATTTTGGACGGGGACACGTCAATAGCTGATGCGTTGGGAGATTAGTTCGATATAAGAATTCAATAGTCGAATGTCAATATGGCGGGTGGGAGGAGACTATTAGTCCACGGGAGGAGACACGGGCGAGGCGGATGCGTGGAAATAAGTTGTGAGCTGTCGTCGAGATACCGAGTTGGGCGTAGTGACTGGGCTTCACCCGTGGACTTGTCCATTCAAGAACGTTCCAACTCTCCGGACTGGCTCAGAAAGAACGATCAATCATGTAAGGTC